AAGTAAACCTCTTCAATGCTCTATGCCTTCTTCTAGACTTCTTTCTATTCTTCCTTACTATATCTTTCGTTTCTTATTTAGTCTACAATCTATTCCTTGTACAATTTTSCTCTATTGCTATTGTCCCTTAGACACTAAAAGGACTTCCCGTTCTTCTATCCTTCATTCCATTCATTACAAGTAAACCTTTTCAATGCTCGACGCCTTTACCCTATCTGACGTCATAGCCGCCATCTTGGATGTATATTTTAAAAAGAAATTATAGTTCGTCCCTTCGTTATTTAATGCTTGAAAAAAATACAATCATATTTCTAATCTTCGTATGGTTTTGCGTGTATGGTTTTGCGTGTATGCTTCTTGTTTATTAACCTTAAAGATAATCATTCATATTTTTTATAAATGAATTCTGAAAAGGCTATTTTTACTAAGATTCCTAGTAATCTACAGGCCACTTCTTTGTAAGATCGAACTCAAGAAAATATCTTGGTTTCGCTCAGTATTTCGATTATTCCTTACTTTCTGCTATAAAAATAACACCAAGGGTATTTTGACTAACATTGCCAGTAATCTAAAGCCACTTGATCGTAAAATCAAACTCAAGAGAACATCTTAGGTTTGATATTTCGATTATTCCAGGATTCCTCAAAATKTTTATCAAGTGTTCAATTCCGGCCAAACTCATTGAGAGGGATCAGAGGTCTCACCACGTTAAGGGTTTTCTATGCGGATTATCGAGAGTCAAGTGTTTTTTTGACTCTAAAATGTATTTTTGTTTCTTCTCTTACATCCTGTCGTTTTGAAGGATTTATTCTTTGTGATGTTTGTTTTGTAGATGCCCTTTCATCCAAATAGACCCGACAAAAACCGTTTTGAAGGATTTATTCTTCGTGATGTTAGTTTTTTAGACGCCCTTTCGTCCAAATAGACCCGACAAAAACCATTTTTTTATGATGTTAAAGGTGTCTCTGAAGATTTGCTAGAAAATAATTTCTCTTCTGTATTCTGAGCTTTCGAATGAGCAGACGTATCAGTTTTCTGCTCTTCCCGAAGAGTTTGATGATATCATGGCAAAAGAAGATGGTGATCAAACCATGTACGGGTTTCTCGTGAAGGTGTCTCTGAAGATTTGTTTGGAAAAACTTTCTCTTTGAACTTTTTTCTGTATTCCTTTCTTATACATTTGTAAAACGACTTGTGTCTCTACTGCACACGGTACTCAAACCACGTACGGGTTTCTCGTAAAGGTGTCGATCAATTCTCATTACTTGAGAACAAATGCACCCCGACTATCACCGCTGTATCTTGAGGAACACCGATGTATCCTTGCTGTAGCGAACTCCTGTACTGTCATTCTTGAGGTAGATGATAGTGAAACCTTGAAAAAAGAATGCAAAATACAAGTTAATCGGATAATAGCGTTACAAAAGCCATGGTTGAAAATGATTAATGATATAACAATAGCCATTATTGACAATAATAAATGCCGTCACTTTAGCCATTATTGACAATGATTGATGACGTCTTTTTAGTTTAGTCATGATTGACAATGATTAATGACGTCACAATAGCCATTATTGAAAGCGATTAATGACGTCACAATAACCATTATTGAAAGCRATTAATGATGTCACAATAACCATTATTGAAAACGATTAATGACGTCAATAACCATTATTGAAAGCGAGTAATGAGGTCACAATAACCATTATTGAAAGCGAGTAATGAGGTCACAATAACCATTATTGAAAGCGAGTAATGACGTCACAATAACCATTATTGAAAGCGAGTAATGACGTCACAATAACCATTATTGAAAGCGATTAATGACGTCACAATAACCATTATTGAATTTAGATTTATGGCTGACGCAGGCCATTAAAACCGGCGAAGGATGATTGATCTTTTTCGAGAAAGATAAAAACGATTGAAGCAAGAGGATGAAGCAAGACACCATGATCTCTTGGATAAAGGTAATCAACTCACCAACCCAGGTCTTAAATCGCGTCACGACAAACGCTTTACATCGTGGGTCTTGATTACACTCGTACTTAGCCTCCTCAAGACTATACACGGCCAACTCGCATGACGTCATAGATCGTGTTTCACCGCACGCGTAGTCGTGTAGCGCGGGAAAATCAGCTTCTGGGATGATGTTATAGTCATGCGTATGAACAGCAGGGTCTGATAAAGAAATTAAATAGATAAATGAATAAGCGATACATGATTGGATGAGACGTCTCATCCAATGACAGTTCAAGATAGAAAGGCCTTTAATGAGAGCCAATCAAAGTCTATTGTATTTGCGTTACCTCGTGGTTGTGCAGACGAGTAAATCACTCTTTGGTCCACCACTGCAAAYTTGAAAGAATGTCGCAGGAAATAGAAAACAAGATCAAATGCGGCCACGTCGCCTGAGCGTGTGTATGCGCGCTTTCGAATTAGTGTGGGTCGATTTACTCGTTATAACTAAGCAAGTAGAAGATCTAGAAAACATAGAGTTGTACCTACCAAAAGTCATATGGTTTCCCGTGCGGAGTGTCCTCACAACATCTTCCAAGCGCTTCACTAGCAACCTACTACTCCATCGCGAATTCTGTGCTTGAATCAAAATATCTTGTAAATCAATTCTCACTTTTCCAGGTGCTTCGGGCACAAGAATGTGATCTAGAAAATATCTCCGTATATTAAACATATTGAATGCAGGGTTGAATCCAAGGCATTTACCGCTAACGCACGGTAACGCGGTCCAATTCACTGTCTGTGTACCCACAATGCATTGTTCACTCGATACGCATGGGCGTTCCTCGTTGTCGAGATCGTCCAAGTCTGTTAGTTTAATTTCGCCGCTGACTAGTACAAACTGATTGTGTTTGAAGTCTCGGATGATGAGGGAACCAACTGGAGAGTGTTCCAAGTAAAGAATGAGTCGCGCTAGACCCAAACAAATCTGTAAGACAAAAAAACATGGATATGAGTCTGTGAACAAGTTTGTCAGCGGTTTTATAAATATGCCGGAGCCTGTGAACAAGGTTGTCAGTATTTCATGAATATGTCGGAATCTGGACGAGCCGACCAATAGGCTGATTCCAGTTTTCGCTCCTTCGCGCTTGGGGGAGCGGGGRAAAAAATTCGTTAGAGAGCGAACTGGGACCGAGTYATGGAATCAGTCTAATCGTCCAAGGATACRCCAATTCCGTCGTTTTGGCGWTCATTTACCAAAGTCTAAGTAAAGYAGGATTGAAACTAAAAACGTCCCTTGTTACGTTTTTTGCTAGCTACGGGAACATTCGCGTTACTTTACATCTCTCATCAATATATCTTGCCGAGACTCGTCTTGTCAAAATCTTGTCCTTTCTGTCATCAGMCAATCACAATGATATCAAAAAATTAAGGGAAAATCTATAACYTGTTAAAAGCCATTCGCGTCAGAGGAATGGGATGCAGGGATCAGTATTTGTATGTCATTCTTGTTTCTACCTACGGGTTTGATTTCAGTCCTGTCAACTTTTCGATTTTTACTCAAATCTTTGCTCGGATAATACTTGGACTTAAATGCAACTACGTATACAATGATGTGAGCTCTTGGAAGTATTTGAATGACGTTTTGAACCTATTAAACAATTCCATATGCATGTAACTGAACTATTCTCTTATTGTCATCGCAATTAAACCCGATAATTCTTTGCAGATTGAAAGTATTAGAATCAGGTCAAATGGTAATAACTCGTGAATTTAGTCTTCCATGCCCCGAGGCGGTGCTAACGATAGATACGTACTTTGAAACTAACGTACCACATGCGACGACGYGATTCCCGATGAAAATACTAAAAGAAAAACGTCTTGCCCAACTAAATTCTTTACTTACAACTTCAAAATTAATAAACTAGAATTTTTCCGGGTAATTTTCCGGCGAAAATTATAAGCTGTTTATTATGTAACTTTTCTAAACGTATTTTAGGTTAAATCTTTCTAAAACTTTATTTAAAATCTGGGCCTTTTTCGGCGAATTTCATTATTGAAAAGGTTCAAAATGGTGATCAAAATTCTGAGACTTTTTATGCACTTGCCAGTTGTTTGGGAACTACAAAACCCTTTCATAGTCAAAAACGAAACGCATATTTGAACCAGAAAAAAACTAATTCCTGTAGCAAAAATCAATTCAGTGTTCCGTGAATGTTATGCTCAAATCAGTCAGTCATAGCGTGCCTTAATGATTTAGTCACGGCTATTAGACTCTTGACAGACATAAGGCGCGACCTCGAATTATTCATCCAAGCTTTCAAGCCGAGGGTTTCTCACTAGGAGCTTTCAGCCAGGAAAAAAACATTTAAACTCATGGTTGAATTGTAGACACAAAGAATAATGTAGTAAGGACAGTTAAGGAGGATTTTTACTTACTCTTAGGCGTTCTTGCCATGGGAGCTGCAGCAAAGAAAGTACATCGATAGGTTGACCTAATTCTGTTATCATTGTTAGACCACGTTCTTTGATATTGTTTGAATTCACTTCATTTTGCCAACAAAACCCTAGAAGCTGTTGAAATAAAAACAGATTAGACAAAAAAATAATGGTTAATAGTTAAGAAAGACGTTTGCATTGACATATATATAAAATTTGGAAACGTAATATAAGAAAAGTTGCTAAATATACGAAGAAAACCACTAACTGTACAAAAAAATTGAAATATTCGAGTTATAATTAATGAACAATTTAGGAAGAAACGTTCAAGCCCTAAGGAATTGTACTCTTAATTAACAATGCTTCTTTTAGCAAGTAAGCGACTATAAAGTAAATGGAAAATATTTGATTACAGAATATGAACCAGGAAAAGTAAGGAGAAGTTTATCTATATTATGGAAAAATCCGTTTTTGATAAAATAAGACAGTCCAAACTCCATAAATGTAATTCGCTAAAATTGCTCAGTCTATTTTCAGTTTAACACTTAAGTAAGTGATTTTAGCTTTAGACAAATTAAAGAATGATGCGAAAATTCACACGTTTAAAAGTGTTTGCGAAAGTGCGCGTAACTAGTTTTTTTTTTTTTTTTTTTTCGAAATTTGGCTAAAATGGGAGTTGGTTTGTGCGAAGAAAGATATTTTTATACACGTCAAGCTGAGGATCAAATAACCAATTAAAATCTGTTTATAAACTCGTAATGTCCATCACGGATTCTAAAAAAGAGTATACTAAGAAACAAAGTAGTTTTGCAAATGTTTACAAATTAATTCAAAAGTCTAATCTCGTTCTATCAAAGATAAGTACACCTTGAGGAAGTGACAATTATTCCTATTCGCGTTTCTTCAAAAACATTGATGCAAATATTTTTCCTATCAGATAAGGGCAGCTAAAAAATTGTCTTACAAATGCTTACAAATTGAGGCGCGTTTGGCTACACATYTCTAGTTTCTGAGCACTATTATCTGACATTCTTGTCAAATATGYCTAACAGTTCCAAAAATGACAAAAGATTTCCGGCTAAATGGAGACCAAAAGCACTCTGTACTTCTATTCTTTTAAGCACTTGAAATCTTTCAAAGTGTTTTCCAAGTGTGGATCCAATGAGTCTGAGAGTTCAGCGTGGATAGTTGACATTGATGTCACAAAAACCGACAACTAAGTCAAAAAAACTAAAAATATCAAACCAATGAAAAGGCTTTCTCCTTGAAATGCTTTCACTGCTAATAATTTATGAACGATYTTGTATGAATTAATAACCAACGAGTGATTAAAAAGGCGGGATTTTAGCCTAACAGGAAGACTTTTATCTCAGCGGAAATTCCTAAAAGTGGAGAGACCCTAACATATAGCACAGACTTTAATGCTTTAATATTCAAAACTCGGAAAATCGATTCCGAACTAAAAATGCAAAATTTCGGCGATCGAGATATCCAAGCTTTGGTGTTAGAAATCACTGCTTTGTTTATAAGAACCTTACCGATATAATATTGATATGTTTGAGTTGTTGTAGGAGTAATATTTCTTTTGCCAGCTTGTACTTGATAAGGTTATAACATTCAGCTTTGGTGTAGTTTACTTCACTGTTAAGACAGCGTTGGACATCTTTGCTTGATTCTAAGACACTYTTGACAGCAACCTCTGCTTCTTTTATGAATCCTTTTTGTACAGACTTAGTATAACCATGGCCTACTTCTCCTAAAATCTTTGTTTCCCGTATATCTTCACATCCAATGTAAACATTCGCCTGCACTGCTGTCGTCAAGTCAGTTATTTTAAGCTCAGGGCTTCCATTTTTCAGCTCGAAAAATCCCTGCAACGCTCTCCTTTTGTCTTTAGACGAGAATATAATGGCTCTCTGAGATAATGGATTACTCAAACTGTGTTTTTCTCTGCTCGGAATCCTTCGCGGTAGTCCGATGTAGGAGTCCCTTGTCTCGTGTAAGCCTTTAATTACATGGTAGTTTCCATAGAAAACAAAAAGCGAACAGAACAGAGTAATCGACCCAAAACTAACCAAGAGACGGAGAAAAGAGCGGTGAATTCTACGTCTGTTCATAGTTCACACCGACACGAAAAGACGTCAGGACTAAAGTCTCATTTCTTGAGAGCTTCATGATATCTCGAGTTCTGGAAAATTTGCAAGCTTACAAGTAGGGCTTTGACGCGTGACATTGGGATTAGTGATGACAGTCTACGTCCTTGAGAACTGCACAATTCAAAACGTACATTAGGGAGGTCTAATAGGTGAAGTGTTAATCGTTGGGCAGTAGACAAAAAGTGGATTTGGCGCGCCGTTGTGATAATAGAATCCAATAAGAACCACACAAAGGCAAAGCACAATAACAACTCTCATATTTACCCAACAAATTACGCGTAAGCTGAAGTCAATATAATATTCAAACAAAGGATAGAACCTTATAAAAGCATTGCATAAATCGCTAAGATCTTTCTGACAATTTTTCCCGCGTATTCCAGTGTGGTTTTTCCTTTCATCAGGAAAGATAAGATTCGTATACTGAACGTTGATAAGGMTAAAAAAAAGAGATGAGTTGCGCGTGTATCGTGTTTTCAATTTTTGTGATACGAGAAACCGGTTTGGTTACGCCCTCTTAACTGTTATATACAGTCATAATAGGAAACCATTTTATGCGAACGCTAATATTGAGCGCCGATTGCGACCTGTCGTATTCGAACGCGTTCTAAAAATCAGCAGATCTTGTGAGAAAATGCACAGAAGAAGCGACTTGTTCAGTTTCTTYATAACGTTCATCTGACATATCGATTTGATTTTTAAATACTGTTCATAACTATTTGTTGAGCATGCACCTGTCTGCTACGACCACTACCTACTTAAACCGACCGGTCTCTCGTGGTACTTATGGGAATTCCTCCCAAAACGTCTCGTTGAATTGGCCATTACAAGTTAGCGACCAGCTGGTCGAGACAAATTATTCTCTGAATCACCCCAATTTTTGATGCAGAGCGCTGCCATGGCCAACTCACCGATCGAACCCTGAAACAACCTCTCGGGGCTGATATAAGTCAGGGCACGGCTAACTTATGATCACAGATCGAATGGAATTTAGCATTATTGGGTTTTATAAAGGGGGTAGAAAATCCATCTGCGCATCCTTTGCGGCGCAGTTCGGCGATGAAAGTGTATTATTAAGGTTAGATAAACAGGCTTATATCACCTTTAAAACCCCTTTAAGTCCACCAAGATTGTTCTATAATCTGCACCTAATCCTGTTTAATATGCCAAAGCCAGCGATTTGTAGTCTGGCCAGGAAGCGACTACTCGATCGATCAGCCAATAATAGCTACTAATGAGCCTATGACGCGAATATCAGACCAACTTTAGTACATACATCAGCTTAATGTTTTAACGATGTTTACTTTGTCATAGCTCGTCGGGCAAAGTTCGTGTATCTTATTATGGCGGGGTAAAGACATGTCGTGACAGAACTACGCTAACTGCTTCTTGTATATCCTTGTATTCCGTTGGACGAGAAGTGTTTCGAGGGGCATTTTTATGCGATCATCATATCTGGTACTTCCCTTGCTAAGTTGTATTTATGGAGTAACAACTTACAAACGATATTTTCCCGCTTCTCAAATATTTTTTGTCGCTCGCTTGTCGTGTTTAATTTCACTGCTTTCGGAAACTAAAATTATCAGCTGCAACATCAGCAGCAACAACTGCAGAGGCAACAACAGCAACAGCGACAACAGCAACAGCGACAACAGCAGYAACAACAAAAGCAGCAACAACAACAACAGCAATAGCAACAACAGTGTCAACATCAACAAATTTATTTGCATCATAATTTTCTTACAAAATTAAGGTATGGAAAAACCTTCCGATCTCTAGTTACGAGCGCAAAAGCATTCAACCACGGCACGGTTGTAAGTGAGTTGTTTTATTTTCCCCTCGTCACGTGCGCTGCAGCGTTAAATCTCCTTTGATGTGGAGAGAAAGTGTACGTGAGGTCAAGAGTTGCTGTACACTTCAGTCAGCATTGATATTTACTCTACACGCTCAAAAAAACAAAAACAAAAAAAAACTACTATAAAAATATTTCTAACTCTGTTCTCGARCATTCTGTGAAGGCAGATGTTGAGTTCCATGACTCTGAAATGGTTTCCACCGTGAACCAATCAAAWTGCGAGGACAACAAAACCAGCCAATCACAATGGTTTGTATGAAGAGACGATACTAAAATGTGCGCAACTTTGTTCCATTATTTTTCTAAGCATTTTGTTTTAAGACAAGGACTTCACTCTGCGAAATTTTGTCTTTTTTCATCCCCCGACAACCTTCGTTGTTTAGGATAGATCTCAAGGTATTGTCCTGGAGGATGCCCCGTAGAGATCATGTTTGAGCATGTGCAATGCTCTGTTCAGCCCATTTCCATCCCACATGGGAAGCTTCCACCACTAACTTCTGGTATTATGTACAAGGTAAAARGTATTATCACGAAGAAGAGTTGTTGGGCAATCCAAAGAGYCTGACTGTGCCAGCATCACGTTCGTGTTTATCCTAAAAAGATGCAACAAATGTGAGTTGGACTAGAAAACCAGTGTCGAAAAAAGCTTCCCATTTTATTAAACCCTGAAACAACCTCTGGGCTGATCTAAGTCAGGGCATGGCTAGGTCACAGATTGAACCCTAAAACAACCTCTGGGCTGATCTATGTCAGGGAATGGCTAACTCACAGATTGAACCCTGAAACAACCTCAGAGCTGACCTAAGTCAGGGCATGGCTAACTCACAGATAGAACCCTGAAACAGTCTCTGGGCTGATCTAAGTCAGGGCATGGCTAACTCACAGATCAAACCCTGAAACAACTTCAGGGCTGACCTAAGTCAGGGAATGGCTAACTCACAGATTTAACCCTGAAGCAACCTCTGGGCTTATCAAAGTCAGGGCATGGCTAACTCACTGATAGAACCCTGAAACAACCTCTAGGCTGATCTAAGTCAGGGCATAGTTAACTCACACAGATAGAACCCTGAAACAACCTCTGGGCTGATCTAAGTCAGAGCATGGCTAACTCACAGATCAAACCCTGAAACAACATCAGTGCTGACATAAGATAACTTGCAGATCAAAATGGAATATAGCTCATAAGGTTTTGCTGAGAGGAAAACCAGAGAACCAGGATAAATAAATWAAAWAAAAARAGAAACAAATCAAGGGAGAGACCAAACCCTGAGGTGAGAAGGCAGACGCACCCTTGATTCATGTCAAATTTAAAAAAATGTTGACAATACACAACAAGCATGCTATATATACCTTATCATCACAAGCAAAGGCGAGTAAAGGTTTATTAGGGTGCCATGCAACAGTAAAAGTAGGAGAATGACATTGAACCTCACAGATGCGCTCTCCTGTTTCTACCATTGCCTGAAAGGAAAAAAAAAAAAGAAAATGTATGAATGAATGAATGAATGAATGAATATGAATGAAGGAATGAATGAGTGAAAGAATAAAAATGTTAGAAAGATATAAAAGAATGAATAATTGAATAATAAATAAATAAATAAAAGGAAGAAAGATAGAAAAAAAGGAAGGAAGGAAGGAAGAAAGAAAGAACAGTGATAACTGTTAATATCATATTTTGACATGACTACACCAAAGTCTAATTGTTTTACTTACAATGTCGATGACAAGGTCCTCTGATCCAGAAGCCAGCATTTGCCCATCATGACTGAAGCTAAGCGTGCGAACAGGCCAACTACAGATAAATTAGTTTAAATTTTATATTACTCAAATTATTGTTGTTTTTTTTWAAAGTTTTTTTTGGGRGRAACCTCCGAACAAAACAGGCTATTAGTTTYATAGACAATGTGTAAGATTAAATGACTTACTCAAGTCGTGAGAATGTTCGAACACAAACCAGCTCATCAACGTCCCACAAGCTGACTAACGCATCTGCACTCCCTGTTGCAAAATACCTGCAATAACAAGGTAATATCTGAATCAAGCTGATATTGTGGACCAACCCCATGATAGGAGGATCTATCATAACACATTATTACCCATTCTGAGGCTGAGGAAAAAACTGGGTCAAGTTGGTATTGCAGTGCATTAATTACTAAAACAGGGACTGTTTTGGGGGACAAATTTTCAAGGATGGCGTATAGTTTATCCCCTAAAACAGCCTGAGTATACACTGCCATGGAAACTTGCAACATAGTGCAGTTTTGGTATCACTGTGAAAAGCTCAGTGCCGTAAGCRTGAGACCGTGATGCTTTCTAGAATTTTAATTGGCTGATTTTTTCACGCGCAATGTAATAGGTCTAGCATTGCCGTAACCTTGGCGTGGCCATGTCTGCGCTGTGTTCMGGGTATTTGATTGGATGGAGAGTAAATTCTTGTGCAATGTGGTTGGTCTGGTGTATCCCTTGCCGTGTCATGGCTGTGTTCGTGCCATGAATTTTTTACAGTCATACRAAAACTGCACTATAATGACTAGTGTTTATTAGTTGGGACTGTGTTGGTATGTGTTGTATAGAAATGGTAGTGTGTGGGGGGGGGGACAATAACCTTATGAAAGAGATCCCTAAGGGGAGTGATGGTTTCAAAATATGTGTTAAACATACTTTCCAGTAGGATCAAACTTGATGCAGATGCAGTTAGCAGGATGAGCATTCAATGTTTGTAGAGGCTTCAGTTCTGGATAACTGAAAAGACAATACATTTTTACATAGTAATTTAGATTAATAAAGGCAGCTCCGGTCCCCAATCTTACTTCATGGCTTTCATTTAAAAGATAGCACATGAAAGTCTTTGTCAGAGGAGGTACGGCTCAGTTTAGCTGTTAGCAAAGCAAGGGGCAAGCAGTAGGAAAAAGATTGTTTTTACTTCTCTTATCCTAGCCTGCGTGCAGCCCAACGTAACAGAGGTTTAGGTCCATACCATATTAATCAGAGTTAAAGACTGGTTGCACGCAAGCTTCTCTAATCCACGTAAATTTCAAAACCTTCAAAATAGGGGTCCATTGGTTGTGTGAAGGTGCCAAGATAGCACTATCTGAAGGATAAATGCTTATAACCAGCRTTTGAATTTTTGGATAACAGCATCAATTTATCCGCTGCATAAGGACTTAGTTGTACCACTCTTGGTTCCATGATTGATTGACAGCATAAAGTAAATGGCACACCATTGTAAACTTGGAACATCACTTTGTAGGGACTTTTATATACCGATGTATTTCTTTACATTATGAATACATTAAAACTTACCTTAATATATTAATACAACCATGGCCATTGGTTAAAAAGAACAGATCATTTGTGTTATTCCATGAGATTTCATTCACCTAAACCAAGAAAAAAAGGATATTAATTCTAACATATCTGTGAGCATTTAAATTACTACGCACGACATTTCAATGGGAGAAGCATAAGTTATTCATGGTTAAGTGCTTCTCAACACTACATGAAAATTCACTACTCWTAAAAGTACCATAACTTCTAGAATAYGTGGGCRTARCAGAAATTAGGATAATAAAACDAGAAACTCCTTGATTCGAGGCTTACCGTTTGTAAGCGCATTGAGATTTTTAAATAAGCCATAAGAACGTTACTTATTATTATTACTAAAGCCTGCAMATTCTTGAAATTGTGGTATTTCCAAGAGTAGTAAATTCTGCAGATGCAGACAGAACAGCAGGCATTGCAAAATTGGTAATACATTTCTTTTATGGAAAACAAATTAGAATAGTCTGAGAAGGTGACAGCGTGTGTGCTGTCTGTTTGTTTTTTTTATTATATAGCTTAGGTAGTAAAGGTATGTGCATGCACTCTGATTGGTTGAGAACTGTGCTTTATTAGTGAACGTAGCATGGTGACATGTAGACAGCAAACTTTGCAAAGAAGTGTGAGAAAACAGCATTGAAATTTATGACATTTTTTTCTATATCATATAAAAACATTAACAAAGCAGCTTTTTTTCATGCTCTGTTAGGTAATAAAGCACTTAGGAAGTGGCAAAGGTACTCAAACGTTCTTTGTGCTTACGCAAATTCAAGAGATGAATCAGAAACTTACCTCAAATTTAAACTGTTCATCGTGTCTTGCTTTAAAGCTCTTGGCATCTACAAATGTTATAAGGTCATCCTGGAAACATAAAATATTCAATATTAATGTTAATTTTGTCACTGAAAAGTTCCTTAGATATATGCAAATGGTTAAACCTTTGCTGTATGGTCCATGGTCCTATCTTATTTTGAGACATAATTACATTAAAACAACATAGAGGCACATTTTGATCAATTGAATATCGAGTGTTAACCTCTGCTTATAAATTAAGTTTGTCAATATTATTATCACCACCATCCATCGTCACTATCATCATTCACCATCATCAACACCACCACCATCATCAATCATCATCATCAACAACACTATCAGCATCACACAACATTGTAAAAATCATTATCATCCAACACTCTCTTCATCACCATCATAACCTATCATCTCACCCATAATAATCATCAACACCACCATCATCACAATCATTTTCATCATTAATATCATCACCATCAACTATCATCAACTATCATCCTCATCATGACATCCCAAGGTAATTTACCTTATTCCCAACAGCTATTGTGTTACCATCTGGACTCCAACAGATGTTGATATTCTCTCCTTTAGTATTCACGACATGGACACATTTGGTACCTTAAAAAATAATAAAGCTTATACAATGAATATCAAAGATGTAGACAGTCATAATATAACAGGCAACCTGATTGGCTCGCTCACTATGATATATTTAACTGAGATTGGCTATCTAACTATGACTTATGTGTATACTACAGTATAACATAACATGTACTCTTGATTGCTGGCTAGAAAATAACTTTGATTTACAGTTGTAACAAGCATTCTGATTGGCTGACTATAACATAACATGCAATTTTATTGGTTGGCTAGCAATGATATAACCTCCGCTATGATTGGCTGGCTAACTTAGAAAACAAAAGTGAACAGTTCATGCAAACATTRAAAACTGCCAACTTCTTGATATATCTTTTCTCATTGAACAAAAACTGCCTTTGGGCTAAGCTTACTTCTTGCATCCCAAATACGAATAGTTTTGTCCCCAGAAGCCGTCACAAAKAGATCAGGATTGGTTGGATGCCAACAGAGTTGATCGACGCTCTCGTTATGTCCCTTGTATTTGTTGTCAAGGGTCTGAAAAACAGTAAACAATCTTCTCACTTTTATAAAATATTTGAAAGAATGATATTAATAATAATTATAAACTGTTGA